TGATGATTGTATGTGTGTAGTTGGGGATTAAGTGTTCTATTGATCGAAGGAAGGGACCTTTATCTTGGTAAGTGGTCGGGCTGTAGAGCCCCAATATGGTTAATTCTTATTCCTTGAATGTGATGTCTAACTTTACCCACCTTCCTATAGCATTGCCTTTACTATAGTTATCAATTCTGATGTTGTGGTTAGCCAAGGAGTTTTGGTGGAGAGGGATAACTGTACCTGCGGAGCCATTGGGAGTTGCACGTGACCAAATCGTTGTTTTGATGAATTTTAATTTATGTTCAATAGCAGATCTAATTTTGTTGTGTTCTGTGTTGTTAGTCTGATGTGTTTCTTGGAGGCAAATTATGTCTGGTGGGTTTGAGCCGAACCAGCCTATGGTTTCTGTTATGTTTCTCCATTTGATAGGATTCTAGAATGAAGGCGTGTCCGTTTATGTTCCGTGAGGTGAGTTTGAGTTCTGGTTGATTATTACTTTCTTTTAAAATGTCCTCTTCAGTTGTGAGTTTAAATCTTTTGGAGCGATCTGTTAACCCTATCCCTCGGGGTTCCTCCATTTGATATGTGAACTCTAGGGATAGGGTTAGTTTTTTATTTAGGTGAGCATTTTGTTGGTTCTCTTTTCCTTCATTTTGGCCCTCTCAGTTTTGATCTTCTGCAACGCCTCCTCGTTGTTCTTCCCCAACCATTCCTCTCTCACAAAGACTCCCACGCTATATGCAATTCGGTCCACTTCGTCCTTCTTCCCCAAGAGAGCATAGGGGATCTCACTGATCAATTCCCACAGCTTCCTCTCTAGACCCTCATTCAGCTGAGCCAAATGGTCATAAATGGCCATAATGGGTCTGATGTTGCTTTCCTTCCTTACTCCTTTGTCCCCTTCCCAGTTGATTTTCAGGCTTTTATCAAGACCTGGCCTGTGGGCATTGCTCTGAGACCGTGGTCTTTACAGAGTGGGCCCACATATCTGTGTCGTGGATGGTCGCCATTTCTAATGAGGAGTGGAATGCTATCTGCCATTGATCCTTTTTAGGGTCAAAGCAGACCGGCAAAATGGGGATTACAGGAGGCAGGAAGCGAGCGTCGATGTTTGCTGCGAGAGCCAGCTCCCGAGGGTTAACGTGTGCAATTTTGTTGAGGGAGAAGGTCCCTTCAGTTAGGTTGTTGTTCTGATCTTCTAGGAATCTCGTTTGCCTCTCTAAGATGGCAATTTTTCTTATGAGTTTCGTCTTCTGATTTTCCGTCCCCTTGGCCAAGTCTAATGCTAGGGAGATCATTTCATCCTCTTCCTCCTTTTGGCCTTATTGTCTGTCCTTTTCTCCTTCCTTGGAATCTGATCTGCCCTTATCTTCTCCGTAGTCGGAGTTGGGCCATGCGTTTTTTGCTTGTGTTGCTGTGTCTTGCAGTTCGGTCTGCATAACTTCCCCTTCATTGCCCACATACTGCTGGGCCACGAATTATGAGAAATTTATCTCAGGTTGCAGCACCTCGTAAGGGTTTGGGGAGGTCGGGAACCCCCCTGTGTTGCCTGTGGATTCTGATTTTTTTAGATCACTGATGTGTTTGGCATGAGCGAGTCTGATTTCTAGGTCTATCTCCCTCCTTATTTGGAGGGATTCTATGTACTCAGTTAGCCATTCAAGAGAGTTGATGGGGTCTTCTTGGCTCACTGAGTCTTGATAGCCTTCCGTCATTTCCGATTCCTTACCGAGGAGGTTCACATTGATGTGCATTTCTTCTTTATCGTCTTGCTCCCTGTCTGATTGTGTTCTTTGCTTTTCTTGGGGCTTGTGGAGAGCTTCTTTCCTGTCTCTTCTTCATCCTCGTTTCTTGTCTTTCTCTTCGTGGCACTTGATTCCTCGGTTGTTGTTTTGGATGGTTCTTTCAACTGTAGGCCCTTCCTTGTATGAAAATTTTCGAAGAATGCTTTCTCTGCTTCCCTCCCCATGCAGTGCACTTCTTAATCTACTTTTTGTACGTGCCTGTTCCTGTTGGAAGGAGGATCCCAATGCCTGCCTGTCTTTTTTGTGAGTTGCCTTGTCATTTCGTTTTCCCCCGATGGTTTGCCATCTGCTTATGTGGGGGGGGAATATGTATGGTTTGCTTGCGGGTTCAGGGTTGTCCAATGTCCAAACCCAGGCCGGTATGTCCTTCAGATCATCAAAGACCCTACATAGGTTGGGTCGTTGATGATCCAGATGCCTTTCATTGCCTCCGCTTCGATCAACATTGATTGGTTGAGTTGTCTGCCTTCTCCCTTGCGTCGGCTGAGGGGGCAGAGGGGATCATTTCCCATATGCCGCCTGATTCTGCATCTGAAGCACATGGGGTTGGCCTTGGCGGAGACGTATACTATTTGGACGTTCTGGTTGACACTGAAGAACCATTTGTCTGACAACTCTGGTGGGCTGTTGGACTTGAGCTCGACGAAGCAATCCTTGAGTTGGCACTGGGGGTAAGAAAGCCCAGGGCTGAGAACACCCATTCTACTCCCATTCCATAAGGGGGCACTGGGGGAGAGACTCGCTGAGTCTTTCCTCAACCAGGCCGTGCATACCGTGAGACAGATTGTCGAATTGTATCCATAAGTGTTTGTTCATTAGCAACTGTCTGTGGCGTGAGGTACCTTGTGGAGCTGACCTGCTTGGCTTCCATTTGGAAATGGTGACCGCTGAACCCTCGCAGTAAAAAAAAGAGCTTGTATTGACAGAAGATAGTTTGTATAATTGGGATCCGCGCATAGCATTGTGACTGCGTTCGACCTCTATGCTGGTAGGCGACTTTGGATTTGGTCTCTCTCATATTTTCTATGTTCTTGAGGCATTCCCAAACTCTTCTTCTCTTTTCTGGTGGAGGGAGATGTTTGGTCTTCGCAGGGAATGAATGTATAGTACAGCGTGAGTTTCGTAAAATTCGTTGAGGACTGCGAGGTTTTCTTTGGGGTATTCCCAGACTTCAACTTCCTGCTCAACTTCTTTGTCCTTGATTATTTCTTTTCTCACGTTGGGCTTTGTTAAATTTTGTTTTGATCTCTCTAACCATTAGATTCAGGACTTCCTGGCCGGGATCCCTTCTTCCTGATGAAAGGCCCTTTGGGGAATGTTCCTCTTGTTGGTGGAGACTGAGGTTGGGGCTGTGTCAGCGTGGGAGGACGGCATTTCACTGGTCTGGACTAGCTTCGCCTCCCCATCTGGGGATCGAGAGATCAGATCCAAAGTGGTAGAGCTTCGTCACCCCGCTTTGGGTATCATGGGATCAGATCAGGAGTAACAAATCTTAGAGTGGCGATTAGAACCGACAAGGTTACAGGGCTTGGCCTTCTCCCTGGGGATTGTGAGATCAGATCTAGAGGGTTAAACGCCGACAAGCAAAAAATGTGCAGAGCTTCGCCTCCCCTCCTGGGGAACGTGTGGACCGGTCCAGAGTGTTCCGAAAAGTAGAAAAATGACAGAGTTTCTCCTCATCATCTTCGAGTTGACGGATCTGAACGATGAGCGTAGGTTACTCGAGCTTCAAAGATATCGACTAAATGACGAACACCAGCAAAAATCGATTTTTTACCATTGATTTCTTATGTCGATGTTCAAGCATTTTGTTCTGGGCGGGAAAATAAGTTGAAATAAGCCCCGATCAGAGAATGAGGCTGAACAAAACAATAACAATCAGAAGAGTAATAATGATTGGTGTTGTTGGAAATATTGGTATTTATAGTAATTGCGAGGAATGAGCCCTCGCGGAGCCCTTGTCAAGCATGCATATGTTCTGGGTAGAGGCCCCCAGCAAGCCAAGTGCCCCCCCTAAGTGAAGGTGGGCCTGAATATTCACTAAAGGCCAAAATTCGACATTTTTCATATGTGGGTACTCAGGCTGTTGCAGCCCGCCAGTTGGTTGAGTGGAGGTGCGATGCCTCCCTAAGCTGCATCGTACAGTTTGGCCCAGGCCTTGGCAGTTGCGCCTGGGCACATACACACAATGCAGGGCTAATACATCACGAAGTGGCCACAGGCCTACGGAAAAGCAGCACTGTCGACATACCTACCCCGGGTCCTGTGCAAAGGCAGCAAACGGCCCAAGTCTGGGGACTCGGGCCGTGCCCAACTGTAAAGGGGCCCAGGCCCTCAACTGCAGCACTGGGCCTGGGCGCAGGCACTGGGGCCCAAGCGAAAGCTACTGGAAGCTTCCAGCCAGGCCATATAGGAAGGAAGGCAGCCAGGGTCTGCATTCTGGCCCACACAGGAAATGCGGTCACACTGCTGCGCTGAGGCCTGAGCGTGTGCGGGCGCGTATGAGGTGAGGAGGGGCGCTGTCGAGCATCGGAGCGCAAGCAGCCATAGCCGGGCCGCAGGGCGCTAGGGGGTGAGAGGGCGACCGGTGGTCTTCAGGAAGAAGGTGAGTGTGGGTGAACAGGGTCTGATGAGGGGAGCTGAGATACGTGCCTGGTACATGGAAGAGTTCCGCTATGGTGTTGACGTCATGTACATTGGCCGTCGAGAGTCGAAGTGAGCCTGTTGCGAGAATGCTGATGTAGGTAGGATAGTCGAGTAGTGTAGGCTGGGCGCTGGGCGCCAGACAGATAGGAGCGACTTTGAATACTGTGTTGGTGTGGCCTGAGGGCTTGAACATTGGCTCATTGCTTCATTGCATTGCCTTTATTTGGATGGAATCTTGGTGCATTTGTGCTCTCTGCTTGTACACGACTACTTGGACATCTGTGTGATTTCGCAACTTGGCTTTCTGTATATCGTTCCCACTCATATTCCTTGCATAATGTTGGTTTTTATTTTAATAATAATGGTAATAAAAATAAAATAATAAGCGTGTTAGAATTGTAGTATTATTGTACGAATAAAGAATATATATCGTCAAATAGAACTGCCCGGTAAACCGTAGGCAGAGAGGGAGAATATATATATATATATCATGCTTGCAACCGCACGAGCCGCACATTCGTGCGGAGTTCCGTACGGAGTTCCATGCAGGGGGTGCCTGTGCGGATTCGTGCAGGTTTTTTATTTTTATTATTATTATTTTATCTTTTTTGGGGAGGGGAAACGGGGGGGCGTATGGCAGGAAGATGGGGATATGGCAAGGAGAGGGGGATATGGAGAGGAGGAGGAGGATGTGGACGAGGAGGACGACGAGGATAGCGAGGACGGCAAGGAGGAGTCGAGATGGGGGAGGAGAAGAGATGGACGGAGGGAAAAGAGTAAGGGCAGGAGGAGGAGGAGGAGACATGAACGGCGAGGAAGGGGAGGACACGAGGAAGGGGAGGGCACGACGAAGGGAAGGAGACGAGGAGGCATGGAAGATGAGGAAGCACGAGGAGGAGGAGGAGACAAGGAGGATGAGGAAGGGCAGGAGGAGGAGGACGAACACGAGGAGGAGGAGGAGGAGGAGGAGGAGGAGGAGGAGACAAAAAGGAGAAGGGAGGAGGAGACATGGAGGATGAGGAAGGGGAGGAGTAGCAAGGTGAGGCAGTACTCCTGTAATTTTTTTTTTCATCTCGCTTATAATTTTGGCGGGGGGGCTCAAATGCACCGTTTTGACCCCGGCCTTTTTTTTTTCTGAGGGGGGTGACGGGTCGTTTTCCGCACACATTGTGCGCTGCACGGGATCGGTTGGGCGCGTGCACCGCACATAGGGAACCGCCCTCACGTCGTACGCTTGCATGTATGATATATATATATTAAAGAATTTAAAGGCAAATTAATGAATCGGTAGGGCCGTAAAGATGATAAATGTTGTTGATAATAGTGGTACTTATGATAATATTTGTTTGAATAATAATGGTAATGATAATGAAGTTAAATGAACTGATTGTAATAATAATAATTCAAATACTAAATTTAAATAATAATATTAGAGGTGAAACGGTTTTCACCTTTGCAGTAGCAGACGCAGATCCCAGGGCTCGATCCCTAGACTTTGCCCTCAACCGTGTACAGTACCAAGTCGACCCTGTGTCTTTGAACCCGGGACCTGTGTCTTAACAGTCGCCTGTTGTCTGTTGTAGGTTAGTGTGGTCGTCGGGTCTCGATCCGGAAGGTCTGTCGAGTAGGGGCCGTAGCTGTAGGTTAGTGTGGTCATCGGGTCTCGATCCTTAAGGTCTGTCGAGTAGGGGCCGTAGCTGTGTAGAAGTCGTAGCTGCTACAGTCCTGAAAGGTCAAGGTCGTAGTTGCCACAGTCCCAAAAGGCCAAGTCTACAGACTTCCGGAAGTGGCCTTTCGAGCGGACCTTCCTGGAATTGTTGAAGTGAGGCTAGAGGCAAGTGGGCAAGTGGGCAGTCCAACCTCACCTAGTCAGTGGTACCCAGTCCTGGTCGCACTTTGTCCAGTCAGCAAGTACCATGTGGGACTGTGCGCACCCTGGGCCGAGTGGAAAGGAGCAGACCAGCGACCAACCTAAGTATAAATGAAGAGGCAGCGTCCAGTCATTCATTCATTCAGACTGTGCCAGAGCGGCTTGTGCAAGGAGGTCTGCAGGTGCCCGAGGGAGTAGAGGGCAGGAGAGAGACGGAGCAGCCATAGCCGCTAGTGAGTAGGAGAGGTAGAAGGCAGCCATAGCTGCTGTGGGTTAGAGATAGGCTATAGCGTGTATGTGTGCGAGTGTTCTGTGAAGTGTGTGCGTGTGTGGGACATCCAGGGAGATCTCGAGTAGAGTGCGTGGGAGCAGTTGCTGGGAATACAGTTTCGGTAGGTTGTTGTCAGGGCGCACAGGCGCCATAGCCATTCGAAGCAAGTTTGACTCTGAACTGTGTTCTCGATATCTCTGAGCTTTGTGTGGGCGCCTGGCGCCAGTGTGATTGCCATCTGTTTTCATGCCTGCTGAGTAAGGAAGGAGACGAGTCTGGTTGCAGAGGTGCAGTAACGTGTGGTGATCGTTGCTTAGGTCGGGGGTGAAAGGGAGTGGAGTATGTGGGAAAATTTGGATGAGGGTTGGGCGGGGGGAGGGTTGGGTGCTGTGGGGAGGCTTGTTGATGTATGGGTGGTGAGAAAATGTCGCTCGGGTACGATAAAGGGGGGGGCGATAAGGTGTTGAATGGAGCGCGGGTGGGTATGAGGGGAGGGCGTAAGAAGGGGTTGTGAGGCTAGGATGAGAGAAGGGGTGAGGGGTTGGGAAGGGAAGGGTCGGAGGGGAGTCAGCCGGTTGAGTGCGTGGGAGATTGGCGGAGTAGGGAGAGGGGTGCGAAGGGGTAATGGTGTCTCGGAGGTTGAGAGGGGAAATGAGGTGGGGAGTTGCGGTGAGATCCCGTTATTTGAGGTTAACGGAGTCTATGGGGTATGGGGAGGAGTGGGTAGGGAGTTGTGAGTGGGATTGGTGGAGTGCATATTTGATTTGAGTAGTAATCGGTGGTGAAGAGATGAAGTGAGTAACGAGGGTGTGGGATTTTAATTTTGAACTTCTTGGACGGGGGCTGGTGGGCTGGAGTGTGTGGAGATGGGGGTTCGTATTATCTTTGTTCGGCATAGCTACTATCCGTCACCGTGAAGCTAAATCCTGAATTTCATGTTCGATTTGCGTCGTAATGGGGATTTTTGTCTGTTTGTGGCAGCCGTGTCTGTCGTGAGTGTCGTGGAATGTGGTTGTTAACGATCTACTTTTCCTATTTGGTGCTTGGTCCTAGGCTCTTGATGGATGCTTGAGTGTCCTTGTTGTCGCTTGTTCCCCTGTGTAGTTTTCACTGTTCCGTTCATGCACGTTTGTCCTTGCGCTGGTCCCAATACCCAAGCTCTGGATGCTGTCCGTAGGTTGGACGTCGAGAGCTTACCTCTGATGTCGAGACGAGTTGATCTGACCTCGCGGGGTGTAAGATGGCCAGCCTGCCCGTAGCATCTGTTGCTGATCGAAGGGGGGAGCGTGGTTTACTTGTTGTTTTTCTGGCCCTTCTCCCTGTTTGGTTCCTCCTCTTTTACCTCTTTGCCTCTTCCTCTCCTCCTCTCTACTCCCTCTGTCTCTTTTCTGGTTTGGCGATGGCCACGCCCGGCGGCGTGGCGTAACGTGGCTGTCCCTTGTTCTTGGCTCTTCTTCACTTTCCCGCCTGAAGACTAAGCTCGAATTGAGAGAGGTGCGCACATGTTCACGCGCGCAGTAAGGAGCACAAATGCCCAAGGAAGGCGTGATCAACGTGCCTGTCTTCTTGCTTGTTGCCTACAGCCTCTTTTGCCCTCCTCCCGATTTTACTATTTCTGTCCTTTTGAAACTTGTTTTTTCCTCTTCCCTTCCCGTCTAATGCTTGCCTTCTCAATCGCTTCAGTCGATTGTGCGGGAATGGTCGACTTCGCTTCGTGACTTTCTCGTCCTTGCTGTTGTTCTCTTGCTAGTTCCTCACTGCCTCCTTTCTCCTCACCTCGCCTTCACTATTCTTTTAGTCTTGTCTTGCCACCTTCTCTCATCTTTCCTCGAAATTGGTAATGATGGCTATGGTTTCCTTGTTGCCACGCCCGAGGGCGTGGCGTGTCCTGATCTCTCTTGCTCAGGTTCAAAATTTTGTGTGCTGGGTTTCACGCGTTCAGCTTGCCGCGCGATTTGCCAACAGGCGCCAGGGTGGTGAGGCTCGGCGCTAGCGGAGAGCGATAGTGTGTTAGCGCAGGTCGATAGCGCTGCCACGATTCTCCACAGCAAAGGCAAACTTCTTATTATTATTATTATTATTATTATTATTATTATTATTATTATTATTATTATTGTTTTTTTTTGCAAAGCTTAAAAGAGCAAAAATTATAGCAAATATGTTCTCTGAATGTCTGCTCTCTTTTCTGGCATGCCGAACTGCAGGTTGCAGAAATCTCTCGTGTGCTTAAGCCCGGTGGGATATTTGTCGCGTCCACATTCTTGGCAACGTCTATCCCCGAGCTTGAGGAAATCCAGTTGACTATTCGCCAGGTGCGTATGTACTATGTAGATGTTGTAATTTTTAAGTTTTAACTGTGGATGTATCATTGAACTTCGGCGGCGAGCTACTTTGGTCTTTGTGTACGACTTGTGTACGTGTCAAGCGTTATTTGCTACGACTTGGACTTTGTTTGACTTGTCAAATACAACTTATTTATTCTTATTAGAAAAGAATGTGCATTTAGAATTTTAATATTTAGTAGTACTTTTTAAGTTTTTATTATTTTAACATTGTTATCATTCTGTCATGATTCTGAAGCATTTTCATCTTAATCTCTGCAGCGGTGTTGGGATGTCACATACCGTAATGGTGCAGACCAGAACAAGAACCGACCTCTCTCTCATAGTACAGGATAGCACAGTGGAAGACTAAATACCAATGGTCAGACCAATCAATGTCGCAATGCAGACCAAACATACATCATCATCATCGCAAGGTGTGAAGGGCCCTGGCGCTACACACAGGAAGAATACGCCAGGCTTAGGTCATACACGGATGAGGAGGAGGGGGATCAGACGAAGAGGAAGGGAAGGATGAGGATGTCGTCAACACCAGGTCCTCGATATAGATCCCAAATAATCCCCCATCCAATGTCTCTGTCCCAATGTCGAGTCTGAATCCAAATGTCGTCAAATCCCAAAGTCACAAATCTCTCTCTCTTTCTCTCGTAGTCTGTTGATACTGAGAAGTCAGGTAGCTAGAGGGTGAGGGAGAGATGGTGGACTGGAAGAAGAAGAAGAAGAAGAGCTCTCTCTCTCTCTCTCTCTCTCTCTCTCTCTCTCTCTCTCTCTCTCTCTCTCTCTCTCT